AATGTAGAGGCCCATTCACAGCATCCCCTAATCTGCTGAGAGCAGAGCAGACCACTAAACCGTCCCCACTGCCCACCAACCCCCATCTTAGGATGGATACCAATATACTTCATGGAAAAATTAAGCATGTCCTCTAGTAAAGCTACACGCTTGGAATTTTCATGACTGAAGCAGACAAACAAACAAAACCTCCAGGAATGTAAGAGCCGGCTATAGGAGTTTAGGGCAGCCTACTGTTTTACATTTCTAGTCATTTCTCTTCCAGATTTGCACTGTAACCTAAAACAGGCTCAGTGAACGGCAACCTGGGAGTGGAGATGGCACACATAACAGACTTTGTGGGCCTGGCCATGCTCTGAATTCTCCACTTCTGGTTCATGGAGACCCTCAATTCTCCTCAGGGTTATATTAGGTACTGGAAATTGCATTATACTAACTTGAACCTGGGGACTGCAGGTGGCGCAGTCGTTTAAACCACTGTGCTGCTGGACTGGTAAATCGAAAGGTCGCTGGTTCAAATCTGCACAAAGGGGTGAGTGTCCGTTGCTCCCTCCCAACTCCTGCCAACCTTGCAGTTCGAAAGCATGCAAGTGCAAGTAGATAAAAAGGTACCACTTTGGTGGGCAGGTAGCAGCGTTCTGTGCACGTCGGTGTATAGTCATGCCGGCCACGTGACTACAGAGACTGTCTGCGGACAAACGCTGGCTCCCTCGGCTAGGAAACGGAGATGAGCACCACCCCCAAGAGTCAGGCATGACTGGACTGAACGTCAAGGGGAAACCTTTACCTTGACCTTTTTAACTTGACCCTCAGGGCTGTCCCACCTGTGAAGCCAGGTGATGCTCCCACATGGCATGAGGGTCGTGGCACTGCTGTGAACTGCTCAGTGGCGGCACAAGTTCTTCTGCTTGAGGTGGCAAGAGAGCTTTCTTTGGGCCTGCTGCATCTGCTTTACTGTAGCAGGACATGGAATCTTCTGGCCCAGGGTGTCTACTCGGATCACCAGGAGGAATCTTCCTAAACTCCGCTGAATGCAGTCCTTTCAGCTGGAGATGCTGGGGGGGGGGGGGATCCTGAGATCTAACACAGAGCTGCCCCTCGAAGGGCTGAGAAATAACTACTCTAATTAGTTCACACAGAAGAGACTTTTGTGCCCTTCCTGGGACTATTGTAGCATAGGAGAAATTAACAAAGTATAGCTTTTCACTGAAGGTTCATCATTAAAGATGTAGGAAGCTGTTTGAAGGGGCCCCGTTCATTCTCCAGCACTGCATACTCAGTTTCCCTACTATTTCCGTAGCTGAGCCATCTGGTATATTCAAATCCACCTCCTGCAGGCATTAGCAGATCCTTCCAATGGTCTTGATCTACTGAGAACAGAAACCTTCAGGGGTACTTTAACCAGACATAAAGGGAAATGCTAGGCCTTGCAGTCATTGTGTAAAGAGGGAGACTTCAGTCCTAGCTAGCCAGTATCATCTAAAGCACAGAGCAAAGAACCAGCCTCCAGCCTCCCCTCCCCGCCAGTTATCTTTTCAAGCCCTCAGCTGCTGGTGCAGCGGTCGCTAGCTCTAGATAATTTGCAATAATTTGCAATTATAAGCAAATGCGCCCTCTGCACAGGACAGGGTGTTGCAGCTCCTGGGACCGGTGGCAGGCAATGCGCACATCATCTATGTATATATTTATGCCCCATCTGTTGCCCTGCAGCTTACATAACCCTCATTTCACCCTCATCCAGTGACCATGAGATCAGTCAGGCTGAGGAAGTGTGACTGGCTACCTAGTCCTAGTGCAACACGCTCACCACAGCTCCACACGGATTCCCCAAGTCAGGTGAAAAGACGCCTTCCCTGCCATCCCTCTTTTGCCAGATGATTCCCCTGACAGCTCTTGCTCCTTTGTAGGAAACCTCTTCCTCCTCCGAAACCTCTTCCTCCTCTGCCGAATCAGCAGAGGTGAAAGGGCACGTAGACTCTGAGAGCGCAGCACCTGCCCACACACCACCTGTCTGCACAGACCCAGGTTAGGGCAAGCTCAAAGGTCCTGACTCAAGCTCAGGCGCTGGTGTGGGTCAGTAATGAAGCTGTTCTGCAGCAGCCTAACTGCCCCCTCAGAGAGCTGCCTTTGCTGCAAATTGCCCACAGAGCTTTGGCTACGGAGCGTATAGAAATGAAATGAAATAAATGAATAAATTCATTTATATATACAGAGAGAGAGAGAGACTGAGTACAGACTGAGCAATGGGTCATTCTGCAGTAAGGGATGCGATTGCATACAAGTCCTGAGGAGATTTAATATCGGCCAGCTAATGCCACTGCAGTTTGACAGGTGGGCTTGGGGTGCATTTCTGTCAAAGGGAAGGTGTCCCATCTCCATTCTTTCCTGCTCTTTGCCCAAGTATGTGGACAGGTTGGATGACAGCCCCCCACCCCGCCACCTGAGCCAGGAGATGAAGTGGCTCCTGGGGAGATCATGGAACCCTAGTCAGGCGTGCCCAGCTCCCTTCCCCTCTCCTGCTACCACTTCCTTTCCACAGCTCACCACCAGCCCTGGCAGGCTCGGAAAATGTGTGGCTGGCTTTCCCTCTGCTCTGGGCCTAATCCAGGCCAGGTCCAGTTGCCAGGCGCCCAAGACCCAAAAGGGCCCATCTCTCCACCGTCACCGCCTTTCTCCCTTAGCCCAGCAAGGGGCCAGTGTGTTTGTATTGTTATTTATTTGTTGGAAGCTGCCCCGAGGCTTATGCGTATGGGGCAGCATGCAAGTTTCCCAAATAAATAAATAAATAACTGAGAATTGTCCTATGGGCCCCCAGCTGGCCTTTGGGTTAAGGGCCCTGGGGACAGTGCTTTGCTGAAGGGCCCCGAAGGCTGAGAGCTGCCTGTGGGTGATGTCAGGGTACAAGAACCTTGCAGGGAACTGCCCCTGGCTCTGGCCCCATTTAATCACCCCTACAATGGAAGAGTTTTGCTGGAGCAGGATGGGAAGCCTTAAGGGAATTCTCAGGTAGGAAAAGAAGTTAAGCTTATGCAGGAAGGTTTAAAAGAAACTCTCGCATGGTATGAAATGTGGCATTTCTGTTCTGCATCCCTCTGCCAGTCATGCCTGTGCACTTTCCATGTTCACTTGTTTCCATGTTCACTTTCCGTGTTCACTTGAGCAAGCTGGTCTCTCGATCTGCACACAGCCTAGGAGTAAGCGGGCAGCATTTGTGCGCCATCCTATGGCTTTCCTTCCGTGATCAAGGTGTTTAGTACACTGAGGTCAGGTGGACAAACACTGCATTGTTCAGCTCTTTGAATCTTTGTGTGCTACACTAGTTTTTAGCAAGAGGAAATGCACAACTCAAGCCGCCATAAAATGAGCGGCAGTCCGAATACGGGCACAATCATCCCTTTTCTTCTTATTTGGTTTGGCACTCCTTGCATGCTTCCAGGATCAAACATGCACAGAAAGGTTTTCCATACAAATGTTTTATTTAAAAAATCTCCCCTGCATGTGCCCCACAGTGACACTGTAGCCAAAAACATACAGAAGTAAAAAATCAAGAAACAGTGTTTTGTTTTTCATAATACATCAAACTCCCCGTGGCATCCTTGCCAGACAGCCTCAGTAAATGGTTAAGGCTGCAACCTCATGCCGGCATTCTCCCTAGGGAATGAACCCCATCACAATAAGCGGGCCTTACTTTCTGAGTAAACATGGATAGGGTAACATTGCAAAGACTGTGGATCTTTCCTTCCTCAGCCCACACAGGGACAAGCAAACAAGTACATCGTTTACATCACAACAGTGGACAAAAAATGGATTAAAGTCTGGAAAAGAAAAAGGCAGATTTATTCATATCTCCCTGGAAAATACCATAGCAATCATCACATGACTTCTTAAGTATTCAGAAAATACATGCATAAGTGTGGAAGTCTGGTGAGTCCAGGGAAATGTTTTGAGTTGCAGTTCACGAGTGGTACATCACCTGCCACCCACTTCCCCACCCCACACATGCAAACTAGGATGGATGCGGATGCACAACCTTTCTTCTGACAGGGCCATGTATCCTCCCAATTGCACATACACAACCCATCATCTTCCACCAAAACTGTTAAAGCAACTGAGGCAACCTGCACTCAGCTAGCTGCAAACCAAGATGTGTAATAATAATTTTTAAAAATCATGCCATGAGTTTGAAATAGTCCCAAACAGCAACTCCTATGGTTTCGTTTTCCCTTCCGCAACCTGTAAACATACAAAAACTGTAGATCAGGTGATGAATTCAAGCCAGATTTTTTATTATTTGGTGAGATTAGGAATGGCTGGTTGGTCCCTGCAGTGCTCCTTACCCACCATGGCTTTCACTGAGCTTTGCATCATTTTTCAGAGAGAAATCAAATGCCTGCAAAGGCTTCAGGGAGAAGGAACAATTCAGACTAGCTGTGCCATGTTCACGGATGAACACTTTTAAGACTCACTGGTTTCAGTGGGTAAAAAGCATCAGAACTCACCCACTGAAAATAAGGGAGCCTTTAAGAGTACTTACCAGTGGTGGGGTAAGGCCTTAAGCCAGTTGACAGAAGCTGCGGAGTAACAATGATTTTTCCTGTATTCATGCTTTTGTCCTTGTAGTAAATATTGTTACCAAACAAGAAAAGCATGGCTTTTCCAAGGCTTGCTTATGTATGAAATGATACTCTGCTTTAATTGCAACAACAATATAAAACCATTGATTAATTTGGCATTTAAAAGGATGTGTGCTGGTGTACAATTCCTAAGACAGGGACAAGTCTTCTGAAAGTCGCGCCTGCATTGGGCAGCTCAAAGCTGCAGTGGCCTGTGAACACCACGACCTGGAAATGTGCGTGTTAATAGAAAAGCTTTGGTCTGTCTGACAAAAGTGGACAGGAGGGTACTGGAAGTGAGGGGCAGACGTGAAGCACCTTTCTCCAGATTATTTTCTCTCTATGTGTGCTTACACTTTCTCCTCTTGTCACCAGATCTACCTTTGTTTACACTTCAGTCCCGTCTCTTGCATACAGAGTATTGTTTGCAGCCAGGCTATTGTAGAAACTAGTATTGAACTGGTTGAGTACTGAACTGCTGTAGCCAAGGTGACTAGAGGGCATGGAACTGGACCACTCTGCATTGCCATGGCTGGGGATGTTGGAAAGAGGAGCGTACGAGTTGAAGCCAACCATATTCTGTCCCATTTTGTCACTGGCATCAGCGCCAAGTCCTATGGGCCCCGAGCGGCTCACTGAATTGGACCCATTCATGTAAGCAGTCATGCTGGACAAGAAGTTGTTAAGGCAGGGTGTGGTGGAAGGAGGTGGTGGAGACCTCTTCTCGGGGGAGCTGTCCGTCCCAGATGAGGAGTTTTCCAGGATATCTTGGTGTTCTGCCATCTTGGGGCTGCCGCTGAGGGCGCTGTCCTCCGCTTTGTCAGAAGCCAGAGACACTGCACTGGTGCTGCAGTCAGACTTCTTCTTCCTCTTCCGCCGAAAGTTTCCATTGTCAAACATCTTCTCACAGTTTGGATCCAGAGTCCAGTAATTGCCTTTCCCTGTTAGGACAAGAGCAATACAACGTAAATACAATGAGAGCCAACAATGAGCTGGTTCTCAGGGCTCTTTCTGGCCTGGATTCAGAAAAAGCAACACATTGGACAACACCCTTGAGAGAGAGAGAGAGAGACAGAGAGACAGAGAGAGAGCGGGAGAAGGTGGGGGCTACTTGTATTCAAATCAGTCCCAGCCTGCCTTGAGGTAAAACTAAACCTTTATTTTCACAGTGTTTGTGCTTATCAGACATAAGTGCCCACCCTGTCCTAATAAATACTTTACTGATCTCTAATTAACATCAGCAGATTTTGCTGAGACAAAGCAGGATTTTACCTCAGGCACAATGGACAAGGTGCTCACCAGTGTTTCTCAGCCACTGTGGTGCTCGGCAAGGAGTTAAAATGAATATTTGAGGGAAAACTAGCCCAGAAAGTTTTCAATCCCACTCAGTTGTGTTAAAGTTGTGTGACAGCCAAGGTGAGAAAGCTAGGTTGCCAACTGAGCACAAGAGAAAAAACTACCCTCAACTGCTCTTGTGCCTGTAAATCAACAAGTAAAGCAAAGTAAATCAACAGCATGGCTTTATCACCTGCCAGTCTGCAGACAGAGCTACTAGTAGAGCTCAGGGGTTAGGAAAGAAGTTGGCAAACTGACCAGCATTCTTCTGTTGCTTCAGAGAATGACATTTTGGAAACAGTTTTGAGTGACAAAGATTTCCCTTGTCCTAAGCAAAAAAAGTTGGATTTTTTAATAATTATGTTCCAAAGGCACATAGGCACAGCACGGCTCACCCGTGCCATGATCTCGACCAATGGCTTACTGAAATGGTGGGAAGCAGCTAAAGCTTCTGGGATCTTTATGGTGGCTTTGCTGTGCCTGATTATCAAGTTTCAGCTGGGAATTGGTGAGGAGGGGGCAGGAGCCCTCCTGTGTAAGCCTTCCTGGGAAGGGGAGCAGGCTCTGCCTTAGCTTCCAGCAAAACCTGATCAGAACCTGGAGCAGCAGCCCCCTGAGCAGGCATCGCCGCCACCGGGCTCCTCCGGGTAGCTTACGGAAGGGCAAAGCCATCTTACCTGGGTCGTCTTCGTCGCGGGGCACCTTCTTGAAGCAGTCGTTAAGGGACAGGTTGTGACGGATAGAGTTCTGCCAGCCAGCTTTGCTCTTGTTGTAGAAGGGGAAGTTGTCGGCGACGTATTGGTAGATCTGGCTGAGCGTCAGCCGCTTGTCCGGGGCCCCGTGGATGGCCATGGCGATAAGGGCAGAGTAGGAGTACGGCGGCCTGACGAGCTTCATCAGCTCCTCCTGCGAGGGCATAGGCAGCCAACCCATTTCATTCCCAGTCAGGCCATGCATGTTGGGCAGGAGCTGCCTTTGCACCCCATAGGAGGGTGGGATGTATGGGCTCCCGTTGGATCCCGGCAGGTACGGTGGGCTGTTCAGGGAAGGTCCATTCAACCACAAGTAGGGGTTGGGTGCTGCACTGTAGTCCCCGGTTTCAAAGTTTGTAGGCCGCTGTGGACTAGGAACATTCTGAGGGTGGAAGAAGTTTTCATAGTAGATGCTCATTTCAGGAGGCTCCTGGCCGATGTTTGGAAATTGTGGGCTGCAGCGTGGCGGTGAGTGAATCTGTGGCTCAAATGAGCTCATAATCTGGCTCTGGCAAGGGACCAACGTTCGACACACCTGTGTTCGTCCTTTCCCTGAGACAGGTGTATCATCTGTGCTAGTCAGCCCTAGTACTTATACACCTGTAAATGTTTAGGGTTGCTTTCCAAGGCTCAGCCTGGTGCTTCCTGATAGGCTGGAGATCAGGGGGATGATAGCCCTTTTTTGGAATGCTGACAGCCCCAGCCTGCAAGAGTAGCCACATTAACCAAATCCGAAAGTTACAACTGTTTGTCTTTTTAAATGAATGGAGGAATTTTCCACTAGTATGATTGGCAGCAGGCAAGCTGGAAAGCACTTGCGGGTAAAGCTGATCCAGGAAGAAAGAGCCTCATCCTCCGAGCCTCTCAGAGCAGAATCATGAATGCCGAGGGAGGTGCATGTGTGTCGTCGGTGGGGCTTGTTACTTAAGACTTCAGAGAAACCGTGACATCGCCACTTGGGGAGATTTTGATCCCTCTGCTTAGGAATGCTCGTTTATTACTGTTCTGCACGTGAAATAGGGAATAAGTGAGCAAACAGCCTTAGAAGCACGTGGTAACTCTTTTGCAGGGCTCTGGAAACAACATGCTTCAGTGAAGGATGGAAACTGTCTTAGGGACAGCATAGTCCAACCTATGCATGTTTACTCAGGAGTAAACAGTTGCTTTGTTCCTGGGGACTTACTCCCAAGGAGGTGTGCATAGGACTGGGCTGTCCGTCGCTCCTTCCTTACTCGTTTTTCACCTCCTCCTGGCCCATTGCTATCAACTAGGAGAAATAGTCTGGGCACGGAGGCTCCTGCATTCAGATCCATGGCCAAGCAAACCACGGCCGCAGCCTCAAACCAAAAGATATCCGAGCGTTTTAAAAGGAGTAACATGAAAGGCCAAACTCCTTACCAGCTCCTGCATGCAGTTTAGCAATTTTCTAGATCGATACTTACCTTGGAGTTTAAATACGGTGTTGTTCCTCATTTAGGGCTGCCCCCTTTTCATGACAAGCCTCCCATGGCACCATCGGGAGCAGGCCCAGTGGAAATTCCACAAATGCTGCCTTTCAGTCTGGAGATGCAGTAAGGGAGAAAGCACCATCATCTGGATATCTGCCTGCCTTGCAGTTGTTATAAGCACAGATATCCTCCAAACAAAATGTGCAACATTTTAAGTATATCTTCTACATTGGAAGGAAGGAAAAGACTTGCAACTGCTCAAGACCATTCTCCACAAAAAAAAAAAAAAAAAAAAAAGCATCCATGCTCTTTAACATGTTCATTCATAGTCAAAGGATTTCACCAACAGTTTGCTTTCTTCCTTTATGCTGAAGACAATGAATACCCTTGTCTTTAATCTGTATTAGCAGTTACTCCTGCTAAATGTGAAGGTAGGGTGGCCACCCATTTATTTTGGGAGCAGGTCCATGTGCCTCTGACAGCTGTGGGACAAGCAGAAGTTCAGGTGAACCGGTGAACCTTTCCCCATTACTTTGTCCAGTACGGCAGGCCATGCTACCTGCCTTTCTCCTGCCCCTGAATTTCATGTGTGGCAAAATACTTTTTGAAGGTGCATAAAAGCCTGTAATAAGCAAATGACTAGTCACTTGACTGGCTGTTGAAAGAAATTATACAATTTTTCCTTATTGCATTTTGTATGTGGTTATGGAGGTATGCACCTGCCTCCAAAAACATCCTTATCCTTTTGTGCAAGGATTGTGCCTGGGCAATTTGGTCTTCAGCTCCCAGCATTCCTGACCATTGGCTGGGCTGGCTGGAGCTGATGGGAATAGGGGTCGCTCCAACATCTGGGGGCTCCAGGTTGAAGATGGCCACAGCGCACCAAGGAACACCTCTATTTTTTCCTGTGGCTCGAGGAATATTTGTACACGAGAGCTGAATGAGCGAGGCTAGTTTTCTCCAGTTACACAAAGGTGGGAAAAACAGCTACAACCTGCAGCAGAAATGTATGAATTGAGCCAAAGATTCCAGACAAGGCAGAGGCAAAACTCTCCATGCTGGAAGGACAAGAATAAAAGAGGGACTCTCTTTCCAACTAGATCCTTTCCTTGCCTGCTTAGCATTTCTCTAAGATGAAGCACGAGTTAATCTTAAGAACATTGCAAGTTCCTTGCATAGTAAAAGCCTTCTCATGCCCACCGCAAGTCTAAGTCATGGAAAAGTGTGCCTGGAAGACTGGAAAGTAAGAGCATGCAGTTTTCTTTTTACAAAACAAGCAGCAATCCAGGTTCTTTCTCCAGGATATGGCACTACTGTACATTATTCTAAATTCAGCAGGGCAGCCTACCCAAGCCCACTATTTAAATGATATGCATTGCAACTCTTGTAAGCCATTCTCTGCGCTAGCTGGGAATTATGGAAATTGCAGTACAAGAGACACAGAAAGTCCTAGGTTGGTGAAGGCCTCAGAAAGTGCTGCTTTCCTCAGCTCTCCATAACTGTTGCGTCTTTCACCAGCATGCATCTGTTAAAGGCCAGGAGATTCTGTCCAAATGCAGTGGCAAGGGAAAGTGCACATGAAAACGATACCCAGCTGCTGGTTTCTAAACAGCACATCCTAAAGGAGACTTTCCATTCCAGAATCGGTGTGCTGCTTGGCCTTCATTCTTAAAAGCGCTTGCCATGCACTTTCCTGACCATGCCGTGGTACAACTGATGTCCAGGTGATATTACAGCCCTCCTGGTTCGATTTGGCACGGTAGTCCTTCGAAATACATCTGGAGATTGCATGATCAACACCTGCCCTGTGCTTGCCTTCGGTAGAGTCCTCCTCACAGGCACGCGTGGCTTTTCTCCCATGCAGGGGGACATTCAGTCATGCTGCCTTTCATCTCTGAGCTGAAGTTTCTGGCCCATGACTCTCTGATCCTTTTGAAAGTGTAGGTCAGCCCTGAGAACACTTCAGCACCTTTCTCAAAACACTGAGCAGGCTTTCCGTTAATCCAGCCACTTATTTTATTTGCATTCACTACCAAGAATAACAAAAAGAAAAGCTATTCTTTCCGGGCTTGGTGTTTGCATAAAAACTGTGCAGGAGAATCAGAGTCACAAGCCAGTAATCTGTTCAGCCTCTAGTGGGACAGGCGGAGATGGACAGAACTTCAGTCCAGCTGGAAAATACTAGGGAAAATGTTCCTAAGTTGTGGATAGGGGACTCGAAATGTAGACAGGCGACAGCTTTGTAAAGTCTCCTGTTCATGTAAGTGAAAGTTCAGCTTCTACATGGCATACACCCTGGGGCAGTGTGCTCTTATTTACAGTTACAGCACACTGCAACGGACATTTTCTGCACACTGACCTGGTGAAGAAGCCAGGGCCAAGCCAGCCCAGAGAAAGGAAAGGAGCAGCTACCCTGTCTTAATGTCTGTACAGAAAAGCAATGTCCAGGCAGCCAGTGCTGTTGGCTGGCAATTTGTCTGCAAGTGACGGGATGCAGCCTCTACTGCACTACACAAAGGAAAAGGACACGCTACAGACAGTACTTCCTCTCTTAGTTCAAAAACCTGCTAGCAAGCCTGTCCAGCAGATTAAGATTAGGCACATAGCAAAGAGACTGATCTCAGCCCGAATAGCCCAGGATGCATTGAGTTGCTCTCCCTTTATAGTACACCAGCCTCCCCCAGTATGGGGCTCCGAAGACTCTTTGGTCCCCAAGTCCTGGAATTCTTGATGACGGGCCAGGCTGACTGGGGCGGAGTGAAGTCCAAAATGGCCAGAGGATAGCAAAATATAGGAGTAGCAGCAGCAGGAACCTTTACTGGCATGGGGATGCGATGCAATGCAAATCTGCACAAATCCACACAGTTCTGCAGGGATTCCCGAACACAGCATTGCTAATGGGCATTAGAGCGACTCTTCACAATCTCCCACAGAAAGGCTGCAGTTCTCTCTGCTGCGTCAGCTGGCTCTGTGGACAGAACGAATCAGACCTTTTCCTGGTCTGACTGAGCTTTCTTATCGATCAAAATCGAACCTAGATACTTGGAGCACAACTTCACAAAAAGCGTGCAGCCCAAAAGCATGTGTGAGATTGTTTCCACGCCTCGCCCACATCGGCAGTGCCTTTCAACATACGGCAACCCCTTAAACCTACCTGCCATTAGGGCAGACGGCACGGCACCTTGCCAAAGAACGCATCCCACGCTCTCGTGGCCCTTTACGAATGGCAAAAAGCACGGCCACGGGTCCTAGTTTGAATGGAACATGTAGGCAGAGAGGTGAGCCCGTTTCATGGGCAGCACTCAACAGTTCCTGGAATTCTGTATCCAAGGTTCTCCTTTTAATCCTTTGGAAAGCTTGCTTTTGGCTTTGAAGACCCAGTTGCTCAGGGTCTGTGCCCCACAGCTTTAATTTCTTGACAAGTGAGGAGAACCCTATTGGAAGTATGGCGTCTGATACAAGATAAAGTACCAAGCTGTCACAATCCACTTTATAATATACACGAAGCCAAAGCCATACAGGGTCCAGCCAGGGCATTGTCACCTGCTGGAATTGTCCACTCTCCAGGCAAGACCCTGGCAGTCCCAAGATTTTCCGGGGGAATGAAGATTGTATCCGTTCAATTGAACAATCCAACATGTTTAGCTAAACAGGGGCACCATATAATATTTGGGGTATTACTTTGGCCCTGAAAACCTGAAGTGCAGCTGGCCCATAGCTATTCCCTCTGTTGAAACAGAACCTTATAATGGACTGAGCTGAAAGCCAGGGCACATTAAGTAAAGCTTTGAATGATAGACCCAAGAGTTCTTATAATGAAAATTGATCCCCAGATATTTGAATTGCTTAACCTGTTCGATACTGCTCCCTTTACATTTCCAGGATTTTTTCCCCATGTATTGGCAAAGACCATTACTTTGGATTTGCTGCAATTTAATTGCAGCTTGTTTTTATTCAAATAGCCACCAAAATATATGATGATCACATCAAGGAGAAAAGAAAGCCATGCCTTGCAATGCAGACAATTGCCAACTCCTTTTTCTAATGACAT